GGTGAAAACTAAACTTGTGGCCCTTCTCCCTTTACTTACAGGTATCATATTTTCAATGGTTCCCCTGGAAGATGACTGTATATAGCAGAGATAGTGTAATGGGAGAGGGGGAAAGGGCAGAGGGTCAAAGATAGGATAAAAAACATATATGTATGTATACATGGTATGAAAGTAGAAATGGAATATTATTGATGATAACATGCTTGTATGGAGGATCTATTGCTGAGTGAAGTAAGCCAGGCTATGAAAGAAAGATATTGTACGTATCCACTCAATATACACCGACTATCCGCACTCTATAATAGAGAGCAATAAATCGGAGGACATAAAAACAGTGAAGGTACTTAATGAGAATAGGACAGTGTGGAATGGGGTAAGTGAAGAGAAGAGGATAGAGAAAGATAGCAAGTGAACAATAGAGAGACAGGACGTTAGTGAGAAACAGATAGGGCTTATTAACTGTTGATGATGACATGTATAGTATTCTCAACTGGATTGGTCTGAGAAGTATTTCATGATGGGCAAAGTATTTTTACAAGCAAAACGAGAAATAGCAATTGACTGTTTTATAAAAACAATTAGAATAATAAAAATAATGATTGGGGAAAACAGAAAAGATATGGAATGTTGAAGTGGGGAGATTAATGTCTCTGTACTGACTGACATGCATGGCATTCCCTTTTGAAAAAACAATGTAATACACTGTAAAGTTATATGTAATCCAATGTAATATAAAGAAGATTATGATGATAAAAAAAAAGAAGTGGATAAAAAAATTTTAAAAAAAAAGAAATAAAAAGATTTTATATATAGGGCATTGTCGAAAGCTGCTTTCAATAATCTAGAGGTTTTTTTTATAAAGATATGAATCAAGAGACTCATCTTTTGTTCAACAGTTGTTTCATACCTGAAACACTTATCAAATGCAAAATATGTGTTTATGACATGACTGGTGCAGGGAAACATGGTTTTTCATACTTGAGAACTGAAAAGTAATAATCTATGACAGTTTGTCTATACTTTACATTTGTACTGGACGTAAACAGTATCACTTCTCTTTTTTTGAGAGGTTTTCGCTATAGGGCGCATGCGCTCGCTAGACAGACAGAGAGAGAGACATAGAGACAGAAAGCGAGAAATCACCCCCCAGGGGGGATGGTCATGCCACAATCCCTTCTCCATTCTCCTCTCAGGATCTTGGGCACACATGCACACGTGCCCGGTGTGAGTTTTAAGCCACTGGGTCCAGGACGTGAACCGCGGTCAACTACGTGGGAGTCCAGCGACATAGCCATTATGCTAACTGCTGGTTCCTGACAGTATCACTTCTCTTCACCAGAGTCTAAATAACTATTGGGTAGATAGAAGTGATATTTTAGAGTATCTCAGGAAATCACTACTATTCACAGTGATAAAATCAAAGATACTGTAAAACATAGACTCATCAAGGAGGACTCAATTTTATTCGATGTAGGAGCCAGCAGGTGGTGGGGAGGTTAAAACTCGAATTGCCACATGACAGAGTGTGCAGTTCAAGTCCCAGTCCTGGCTCTTTGAAGAACATGCTGGCTATGTGTGTGTGCATGCCAACAATCCTGGGAAGAGACTAGAAAATGAAATTGCGTTGCAGTTATCACCCCCAAAGTTGTTTTCTCACACCCACCCTTCACATGCCACTCTCTCTAGCAAGCACACACTCCCTTAAGTAGAGAAACACAAACTAAAAGAATTCTATTCACCCTGGTTTGAATATGTGCATTTTGTAAGGTTATAATTACTCTTCTAAGAAACCTCTGTATGATTCTTTATCTTTTAGATCACCATTTTTATGTTGAAATATTTAGGATATTTCATTTCTGAACTCATTTTGAATGAATGCCCTTTTACCATTTAACTACACGTGAATAGATGTTTTAAGAACAATTATTAATAGCTTATTGTAAATATTAAAAAATAATTTTTAAGACTTCTAATACTTAGAACTTAAAACAAATTTAAATATAATAAACATCTCTCCTGGATTCTTTCAACAGCATACAAGCAATCTAGAAAGATCTGTTTTATGATAAAAAAAAAAAAAGAAAACTTCCTGAAATCCATGCTTTTCATTTATCATCTAGTTTTCTCTTGCCTTTATCATTAACAATTTTCTAAGAGATTTCTATGCTTACCTCACAGTCAGGCTCCTTATCAAAGACCCTCGTTCTTATTTTAGTCAACTTTTAAATAGAATCAACAGTTGAGTGTTCTCTTATTTCACCTGAAGACTACGCTATTCTCGTTTGTTTCTAGAAAAAGTAAACATTGCTAATATTCAGCCAATGGGCAACACTCACTGAATAAGCAGGCCACCACTGGGGATGTCAGCCCCCTTGTGACTCTGGAGGTCTGCTGGTCTGGAGGTCTCTTCTCTTCCCAGAACCCTACATAAGACCAGCGGGCTGCTCAGAAGAGACTGTGCCTGGCCAGCCGAGTACAAGTTCTCACAACAGAAAGCAATAAATTCTGACTTTGTCTTTCATTTCACCTACGTAAAGGCTCATCATCCTTTCATATGAATTTTTACAGTCCATTCAGTTACCACCATTTTTATTTTTGGTATTAAAATACCAATGAAATTTGTGCTTTCTCTGATCCATTTTACCATATGTATATTGATATAGAGAATCTAACCTTATAGAGCCAATGAGGCCAGCAGGTGGTGTGGACGTTAGAGTGTTGGATCCCACATGGGCTCCTGAGATTTGAGTACCAGCCTGGCAATTTGAGAGTCACACAGGCACATGTGCTTGTGTGTCCACAATTCCAAGCAGAGAAACAGAGGAGGAAATATTTCGGCATGGCCGTTGCCCCTGGGTGGTGATTTTTTTTTTTCACTTTTCCTCTCTTTGTGTTTCTAGTTAGCACACACTCATTATGAGAAAAATCGAAGAAAAATAAAGACCTTGGGCCAGCAGGTGTTGTAGTGGTTAAGTTGCTGGACTCCTACATGGCCAGTTGTGTTTGACTCCCAGACCCTGTGGTGTGAAACTCAGGGCAATGCCAGTGCATATGTGCCCAGAATTCCAAGAGAATTGGGAAGTAGGGATTGCAGTGTGGCCATCCCCACTGCGGGGAGATGTGTCAATTTCACTTTCTCTGTCTCTCTGTGTGTCTCCAGAGAACACACATGTCTGATAGCAAAAAGTCTATCAAAAACAAAAAGAAGAAGAAAAAGAAGAAAGAATGAAAGAACCAAAACCAGCCCCACAACAGAATTGACCCAGAGCATCCTTTTATTATAGTGAGAATTGGCTAATTTTTCAAACAATGTATCCACAGAAAACTGAATTCGCTCTCTTAACAAATATTCAATAAATACATATTGAAGTTCTTTTCCAGACACTGAGAATAGAGCAGTGAATAAACATCCAATTCATGAGAGTGAAGTAAGCACACAAAAACAGTACACAAGACCGACAGGCAAAATGTAAGTATGTTAAATGAGAAAAAGGAAACCAGGGAAATGAAATATTTATGTGTCATAGGGAGAGACAGTAGAGCTATAGAACTACCAGTCAGGATGGCCAGGAAAGGCTTTGTTGAGAAAGTAAGGCGTTTTTGAGGTTTTTTTGTTTTTGTTTTTTTTTTTTGAATGATTTTTGTTATAGGGCATGCGTGCTCACTGCAGAGTCAGAGAGACAAAAAGTGAGAAATCACTCTTCCAGAGAGGGAATGCTGCAATTCCTTTTCCGTCATTCTCCTCTTGGGGTCTTGGGCATGCATGCATGTAAGCTGGATGTGAATCCAGGATTCAAACTGTAGTTGACTACATGGAATCCAGTAACCTAACCATTGGGTCACCTGCTGGGCCTGAAAGTAAGGCCTTTTAAGTAAAGAACAGAAGGAATGGAAAGTACACGGGAGAAGGACATCTAAGGGCAAAACAGTCCAGATAGAGCAGACTGCCAAGAACAGAGGTAAGCCTGGAGCGCTGAAAGAAGAGTGCGGAGCTTGGTGTGGTTGGGGCAAAGAGAAGAGGACCGAAGAACAGTAGTTTAAGTCAGAGAGATAACAGGGGTCAGAGAACCCAGCTGGCTTGTGGGTACTAGGTAATCTTGTGGAAATTCTCAGTGACCTAGGAGGCAACCAGGAGGTTTTGAGCAACGGAATGAAATAGAATCTGACTTATGTTTTCTTTTTAAATTTTGTCCTTTTATTATATGAGGGGGCATATGTGCATGTGTGAGATTGAGAATGACATGCGTTAATGGATCCACTGTGCTAAGAACTGATACAAAGAGAATTAGAAAAAAATAAACAGAGACCAATTAGCAATCCATTACACTAATCTAGACAGCAGATAATGGTGACTTGATCCTAAAAGATATGTGACTATATCTATGTTTGTTTATTTGTTTGAATTGCTGGAGAGTGCATGCACTTGCCTGGGAGAGAGGGAGAGAGAGAGACAGAGAGAGAGAGAGATTATTATTAACATTTTAAGATTATTGCCATAGGCATGTGTGACATGTGTGCGCAGGAGAGCAACAGAGTGAAAGTGAGAACTCACCCTCAGGGGAGATGGCCATGCTGCCATTCCTTCTCGTCTATTCTCGTGTCAGGGTTTGGGGCACATACAAGAACACTCAATTTGGAGTGATTTTCAAGCCTCTGATGTCTATTCTCATGTCAGGGTTTGGGGCACATACAAGCACACTCAATTTGGAGTGATTTTCAAGCCTCTGGGCCTGTAGCTCAAACCATGGGAATCCAGTGCCTAACCCACCCTGCCACCTGTTGTCTCTGAGATTATTGCACTTCTTCAAAATATTTATTAATATGATTGGGGGGAAATGGTATCTTGTTACTTGTTAATTTGCAGTTTTCTGATTACCAAGCCTGGCTTAACATCCATAGTCGAAGTAAAAAGTTTGTTAATCATGAATATTAGTCCAAACTAGAGTTAAATTTATAGAAGAGTCACAATAATCTACTGCAAAATCTTGCTCGTGGTTTACCTATCACGCCCTTCCTTCTTCGCAGGAAGTTGTTGGTTATCAGCTTTTGCGCTCTCTGGAGTGACTCCATCGCCCTGGTCCCCAGGAAGAACAGCAGCACCGTGATGTAGATTTTTTGATGTTTCCATTTCATTTCTTTTGTGTTCTTTTTCTTCAGCGACCTTTAATGAATGAAGGACAACTGTTACCTCATTCGATAAAGTCCCTTTTATTGAACTTATCACTTGACTCAATTTAATTGTCATGAACCTAGCCGGAAAAAAAATATTTTTGTGCTTATCTTTAAATCTAAGTACAGATCACTGACATTTTTAAAATTCTACTTCACTTCTGAGTAACAAAAACACCATTTTCCAAAAATTTTCAAAGGGCTCTTCTTAGTTTTAGTCTCATTCACTCTTTACTAGTAAAGATTTTCACCCCGTTTGAGAGGCAGAGTGAGAATAACAAGATAAGGATGCAAAATGTATCCTCTTCTCTTGTCTTTGCAACATGGACTTTACAATGAACAATCGTTCGCAGGCTGTAACCAAGAAAGCTCACTCCTCTCCCTGCACTAAGCTATGCCTTCCCTTACTGCCATTGGCACTTCTTTGTTCATGGGATCCTTGGATACCAAACAAGTAAAGTTCTCACTGAGACAAAGGGACCAGAGTTTGCCATAACACAGGAAACAGAGTGAAACTACGAATTGAGCATGTAGCATGGAATTCTGGAATGTGTCTCCTGATTTTGCACTTACTAACTACATAGTGCTGGAGAATATATAAGTATCCACTTTGGCCCCATTTTTCTACTGAACAGGGAGTAAAACCAAGAAAGAGTAAATAATTTGTCCCAAGTGCCTAAGGTTGTATTATTTACGATCTCATGGCACCAAAAGAAAAGATATAATTCTATAATGTAAATCGGGTAAACTGCTAGATAAATGTATCCAGTTAATCAAATAAGTTAAAAGTGTGACTCTGGCAAAATAATTTAATACCTTCACGGGAAGTGGAAGGCCTCATCTCTTACTTTTAAAGGAGAATCTCTCTAGATTTTTATCTATCTTTAAAACTCAGTATCCAGGGAACCAGCAGTTAGCGTAATGGCTATGTCACTGGATTCCCACATAGTCGACCGCGGTTCGCGTCCTGGACCCCGTGGCTTAGACCTCACGCCTGGCGCGTGTGCGTGTGTGCCCAAGATCCCAAGAGGAGAATGGAGGAGAAGGGATTGCAGCGTGGCCATCCCCCCAGGGGGGTGATTTCTCGCTTTCTGTCTCTATGTCTCTGTCTGTCTGGCAAGCACATGCACCCTATAGCGAAAACCTCTCAAAACAAAACAAAAAACTCAGTATCCAGGGGTGAGCAGCTGGCATAGTGATTAAGGCACTGCACTTCCACATGGCTGATGGCAGTCGGCCTGAACCTGGTGCCCTGAAAATCACACCAGTTGCGTGTGGGTGCATGCCCAAATTTCTGAGAGCAGACGGAAGGAGAAGGGATTGTTGTGTGGCGATCTCACACCAAGGGGTGGTTTCTTGCTTTCTCTCTCTCTGTCCCTCTTGGGTGAGCACACATGCCCTATGGAGAACCAAAAACAAACAAACAAACCAAAAAACCCTCAATAGCCCTCAAAATATAGCTTTCTACTTCAAGGTCAAATACTACTGTTTATGCTACTTATATGATAAAAGCCTACATGTGAAAATGTAGCATACTTACTAAAGCAACATATTGTAAAGGTCTGATTTAGAAAATACATTTTGAGAGTGGTGATTTAAAAAAAAAAATGTAGAAAGGGCCAGTAGGTAGCTTGGTGTTTGAGGACTTCCACCACATGACTGACCATGGTTTGAGTCCTGGACCAGGAAGCTTGTTTTCTCACTTTCCCTCTCTTTCTCTGCCTCTCTGATGGGTGCATGTATCCTATAGGAAATTGAAAAAATAATAATAAAAAATAAAATAAAATATTGAAAAAACATGTGGAAATATATATATGTAAATATATATATTTGTTCTCAAAATATATATATGTAAATATATATATATTTGTTCTCAAAAATGTTGATCATGGTCATGTTGGAATTATAAATCACAAAAGTCTGAGTAAAACACAAAACCTTTCACAGACCAATCACATCAAACAGATGAGTTTGGCTGGGAATATTTGTTACCATCTCAAACCTACATACTGTGTGTTTGTGCATGTGTGTGTGTGTGTGTGTGTGTGTGTGTGTGTGTGTGTGTGTCCTAGAGGGTATATACACTGACCAGAGAAAGCCAGCAAGAAGAAAGAGTAGACCACGTCTCTCATGGGACATGGTCATGGTCATGACACAATCCCTTCTCCTCCACCGCACTCTCCTTTCAGAATTTTGGGCACACACTCCCAACGTGTTTCTTAAGCTGCTAGGTCTGGGACTCAAACTAGTTCACCATGTGGTGTGAAGCTGCCTTAATTACCAAACCAAGGAGCTGGCCCACTAGATATATTTTTATATTCCTTTTCATCATTTATTCCCTCCCTCCCCATTGTATTCCCATTTTACTGTTTAAATAAATGTACTTTAAGCCAGGAGAGAAAAAAAATTAACTAGAGCTTATTACACATTCTTAGCAACTTTCTTTATGTTTATCCTGGTTCAGAAGATGACATGGTATATAACTAAATTAATTTTCCTCTTGATATGCCATTTGGAAGACTGACAGACAAAGATGTGTATTGATTAAGAAACAAATATGAGAATGTTTTTCTGAGCTCCTATTATATACATAACAAAAATAATGTCTTTTTAGACACAAATATGTGTTTGGATCACCCTATTTTATAGGAGACCGGCAAGTGCATTCTGGGGACTCAGAGGGGACATGAAATGGAACAATATTTTAAAGACTAGATTAGGAGTTTTTGTATTTTTTCAGAATTTTTAAATTTTATTCACTATTATTAACATCTTAATTCTCTAGAGAGAGGCACACACACACACACACAGAGAGAGAGAGAGAAGGAGAGAGGGAGAGGGAGAAAGAGAGAAAGAGAGAAGCAAGCAACCAGGTCTGGGACTCTAGCCATGATCTGGCATGTGGGAGTCCCGCATCTTAACCCCCATGCCACCTGCTGGCCCCCAGGATATCTTCTTTTTGTTCAGGAAATGCCTGGACTACAACAGAGGCAGAAACTCCAAATGCATAGTTTTCCTCACAATCAAGTATGTTATTTATCAAATTAGAGGGTATGGCCTTGAAATTGGCTCCTCTTTTAGAGTTATCACATAATGGCTCTTCCTCAGGATAAACAGCAATTTTAGATCTGTCACAAATTTCAAAATCTGAGATTTTTTTAACAAATTTAATTTATTTGTTATAAGTATTTTTTAATGTGACCAGAGAGAGACACACAGAGAGAAAGAGAAACAGAAAGTGAGAAAGCAAGCCACAAAGTCTGGGACTTGAACCACAGTCAGCCAATGGGAGTCCAGTGCCTTAATCACCACACCACCTACCAACACCTAAATCTTTGTTTTAACTTATTTGTGTTGAATTTAAATTTATTTCTCCACTCCAATATGCCTTGTTTGATCCACATTTCCTCATTCTTTTGCACAGAAGAAACTCCTGAATATACAAATATTTTCTATCACAATTCCCATTTGTTTCTGATTTTTGAGAAACTATGCATATGCAAAAGTGGAGGGCTCATTTGCTTGATATGTTTCTTAGATATATTTTCTGTAAGGATGCATGTTTTAAAATAACTTTAGGACCAGAAGTTGGCCTAATAGCTATGTCGCTGGATTCCCATGTGGTTGACTACAGTTCAAGTCCTGGACCTGGTGACTTAAACACACACTAGGCGCATGTGCGTGCATGCCCAAGATCCCGAGAGAGAAGATGGAGGAGAAGAGATTATGGCATGGCCATCCCTGCTGGGAGGTGATTTCTCACTTTCTGTTTCTCTGTCTCTCTCTGTCTGTGTGGCGAACGCATGCACTCTATAGCAAAAACCTCTCCAAAAAAAAAAATTAGAATAGTTTTATCATTGGGTGATCAAGAGTGACAAAGAAAAATTAGAAAATGATTCAAATGTAACCGTACACTTCCTAATCTCTTATCTTATACACTTGCTAAACTCAAATCACTGCAGCATAACTATGAAATATGCTAAAATTTGCCTTATCCTAAAAATAGGAGAAAAATATGAACCAGTAAACATAATTTTGTTCATTTAGACTAAACTTAATTAAATCTACCAAAATGACTTAGGAGATTTTTAACATTATAAAGTCTTCTTTCTTTCAATAGGTTTTACCACACCATGGAAAGGGAGGAAACATCAGGCCAAAAAAAAAAAAAAAAGTGAAACTCTGTTGAAAAAAAGACATAATATTTTCATCAGGGTGGGAACTTTATGTAAAATGTAAAGTTCATCTGAAAATTAAAAAAGAATTTAAATATTTTAAAAGCTTTTACCACATCATCCTTTAAATAGTGAGTACTTCTTTGACCAGAAAATTTATGTACTCTTTCTAAAGATTAGTCACCGGAGAGTTGGCAAACTTAAAACTATTAGAAGTCAAATCCATTAACACCAGTCAGAAAGTAAAGCAAATTCTTTATATATATTATGATATGTTACACTGTATGAACTATCTGCCTTAAGTGAAGTTCCAATATGTTCTTGTCCTTTGACACTAGATTAAAAACAATTCAATCTTGATTACTGATTTCCTACATTGAAATGATATAATTTAGAAGTTATTGCTTGCACCCTAACTCCGAAGATCCCATTATGCAAGGGGAGATTCTCTTCATGGGCAGCTGGGTTGATCCCACTCTCTCCCTGAGTGCTGAAACTGAAGTGATTAGGGACCACAGAATGAAGTCTTTGTCCTTGTCATTCATGACTGTCAATATGAAATTGCCAATTTTGAGCTACTGGAAATGATCGCTCTTAGAACATGAATCTAAATCAGTGCTCATCGCTATTACAATGTTTCAATCATTTAATCATATGATTTAATATCTGATGTAATCTTTATTATGCAAGGAGGTTATAGAAATGAAAGAGCAAACAATATTCAATCATTTTTTTCCTTGAATTACAGGATAGAGTTTGGCTATAGATTCTAAGAACATTTTCATTTTTATTACTAGTTAAATGCTTTTAGAGTTAAATATTAAATTATGATATATTAATTCTACAAAGCTAGCTGAAAGGAAGTTTTATCTGGACTATGCTACACTACTAAAGCAAAGACAACAGGGCCAGCAGATGTTCTGTAACTGAACTCCTGCATGGTCAACCATGATTCAAGTCCCAGGTGCATGTGGGTGAATGCCCAAGACCCTGGGAAGTGAATGGAGCAGAAAGAATTGCAGCATGGCCATCTCCCCTGGGGAATGAGTTCTCATGTTCCCTCTTACTGTCTGTCTGTCTGTCTCTGGTAAGGCACATTCATCCTAATGCAGAACCTAAAACAAACAAACAAAAACCCCACAAAGGCAACGACATTAAACCAGAAATGTAAAAGTAAGTCTTTCCATACCTTAGATTGTTTTTTTGCACTCCCGTAGACCCTCTCTTGCTCTTCCTCTTGAGTCTTCTTTAAGTCTAGTTCTGCTGAGAAACCCATATGTTTAGTTAAAATGAAATACTTTGAAAAGTTAGAGAAAAATCTATAGTCTATAAAGATAGACAAAACATAAATTTTTTCCAGTTGAGAGTTTAAATTTAATCATTAGGAGAATATTTACTTCTTTTTGTTGTTGTTGTTGAGAGGTTTTCACTATAGGGCGTGTGCGCTCGCCAGACAGAGAGAGACATAGAGACAGAAAGCAAGAAATCATCCCCCAGGGGGGATGGTCACGCCGCAATCCCTTCTCCTCCATTCTCCTCTCAGGATCTTGGGCATGCACGCACACGCGCCCGGCGTGAGTTCTAAGCCACCGGGTCCGGGACACAAATCATGGTCGACTACGTGGGAATCCAGCGACATAGCCATTACACTAACTGCTGGTTCCCAATATTTACTTCTTTGAGAAATACCTTTAGGGGCCAGCAGGTTACATAGTGGTTAAGGCACTGGACTCTCATATGGCTGACTGTGTTTTGAGTTCTGGACCCAGTGGCTTGAAACTCATGCCGGGTGCATGTGTGTGCATGCCCAAGATCCTGAGAGTAGAACGGAGGAGAAGGGATCGTGGCATGGCCATCACCCCCAGAATAGATTTCTCTCTTTCTTTCTCTCTGCCTTTCTCTATCTCTATGGTAAGGACATGCAACCTATGGCAAAAATCTTTCTTAAAAAAATGCAGAATACCATACCTGCTAAGTCAGAATATGCATCTTAAGAATGCTACAGTTTGAGAAGCTCCAATCTACACCGAATCTGCTTTTAAATTCCTTTCACCTGAACTTGCTCTTTTGGAATCTAGACTCAAGTATCTCTCTATGACATCTCCCAAACTGAAACTGCATTAGAACTCAAATATTTTTCCAATGGACTTTTTATCAGGCTAAATTTTCCCTGTCCTCTCCATAACTAGCCCTACTTTCTTCTGTCTAATATCTTACTTTGGCCCACATAATACCATCCCGTGAACTAGCAATGTCTGATGACCAACCATCTATACTTATATTCACCTATAGCAGATTAATCAGCTCTGCATGACTGGGCACCTCAATCCTTAACTCCTTACCAATAGTGAGGAAGACAGAAAGGCTGGGGAAATTGTGCTCCACTTCTCTGACAAGTTTGAGTATTGGAAGCCACTTTGTATTCTTCCCCTATTTCTAATCCTCTTCCTTTTTCTAAAGGATCATTTTACCATCCTCCACTAAGTACACGTTCTCCTTAATTTACTCCCTGTACTCCTCGCCTTTCTCATTCTCCACTCCCTCCTTTACTCCTTTCCTGGTCTTTATTTCCTCAGATCTTAGTGTATCTTGCAGTAGAACTAATAATTCAGCTCCTTCAGTGGCTCTCTGTCTACACTGTTGCAGACACCTGTTAAGATATACAACTTCTCACCATTTCACTTGTTTTTCATTACTGTGCATTTAATAGGTGACTTTCTTTGGCTATTAGAATATATCAGTGTTCACGTTTTAAACAACATTCTATCAAATGATTTTTTTGTAAAACGAAATCCTTACCTTCCTGTTGCCCACGTGCTTTATTTGTTCCTTTTTGGTCTACAGCTCCAGAAGAAGAGCTATCACACGTGAATGAAGTACTACCGGAGATGCTCTGTTAAAATTAATATCGACAATGAGTTGCATAAGGATTTCCTAATCATTTCCACAAACTAAAGAATGTATCGTGATTGAATATATAAATAATAATAATAATAATAAATTTAATGGTCATTTTCTAATAAAATATTTGATTTTTCTATTTTAAAAGCAATTGGACTTAAAAAGATATACTGAAAACCAAAACATGTGAAGAGAGACCCTGAGACATGCTCCCACCACCAACCTTATCTTTGATCTTCATGCAGTTCCTGCCTCTGTACCCTTAGAAGGCCACAGGTTACATACTCACGGACAATGATACGCATTTGCATATGTCAATGAAGAACTGGCTTCAGAATACCTGTCCCTCTAGTTCACATTCCCTACCAATAATAGGAGGATATTTTTAAAAATACATATTTAGGAACTAGCAGATGATATAATGGTTATGTCACTGGACTCCCACAGGGCCAACTGTGGTTTTAGTCCCAGACCCAGTGGCTTGAAATTCACATCGGGCACGTGCATGCCCAAAATACAAAGAGGATAATGGAAGAGAAGGGAAAGTGGTGTGATCATTTTCCCTGAGTGGGGATATCTTGCTTTCTGTCTCTTTCCATATCTTTGGTGAATGTGCATGCCTTATAGCAAAAACCTCTCCAACATAAATAAATAAATAAACAAACAAACAAATAAATTTAAATATTAGCTTTATTTTGTTATGTTTTTCTTTATTTTTTGGGGGGTGGGAGATGTTTTGTTTTGTTTTGTTTTGTTTTGCTATAGGGCTCATGTGCTTGCCGGAAATATAGAGAGAGACAGAGAGACAAAGAGCAAGAAATCACCCCCCACAGGGTATGGCCACACCACAATCCCTTCTCCTCCATTCTCCTCTCGGGATCTTGGGCACACACGCACACGTGCCCGATGTGAGTTTAAGCCACCAGGTTCAGGACTCAAACCACGGTTGACTACATGGGAGTCCAGTGACATAGCCAATACGCTAACTGCTGGTCCAATTATGTTTTTCTATAAAGCATGTGCACTTACGAGAGAGGGAGGGAGGAATAGTGAGAAATCGCCCCTCAGGGGGGTTTGGCGATCCGGCAAACACTTCACTCTCCTCTCAGGATTTTGGGCATGAACTCACATGCTCCCAGTGTATTTTTCAAGCTGCAGGGTCCAGGACTCAAACCATGCAGTTGGTAAGCAGGATCCAGTCATCTTAACCACCATGCCACCTGGCTGGCCCTGAAATATTTCTAATGTTGGAAAGTTTTTAGCATTACAATCAGGTAGTTGGCATGATGGAAAACTTGAGAGGTTGTCATGTTGGGCACAAATAGATCACTGTAATAGTTGTTTCATTTAGGTCAACAAGGACTTGAAAAATACCTATTTTTTTCTTTAAACTTTGCCAGAACTCACAGGTGCTCACCAGAAGGAGAAAGGGAGAGAGGGAGAACATGAGAAAGCATCCCCTATGGGGAATGGTCACACTGCAACCCTTTCTTTTTTTATCTCACTCCTTTTTGGCATTTTGGGCATGCCTTCACACATGCCCACAGTGCTTCTCAAGCTG